TTATTCGCTCACTGCAGTCTGGGCTACCAATTATTTCATTACCTTCAAGTCCATCTTCCCCAAAGCTCCCAACCATTTAAAATGCAACACACTGTGGCATTAAATTAAGTCTATTATTTTATGAAATTGAGTATTCGTCTGGAATAAGACTGCTGTAGAAAAATTTGATTAATGACTGTGAAATTAATATGCAAAATAATTGCCAAAGCAGTAATTATCGGTTTGAAGAATGTTTAACAAAGCACAGATGAAATAATTAACAAATATTCACTTTATGAAATGTGACATAGCACCTTCTTCATCTCTTACTTCCCTCCTTCCAAAGCATTCGATTTGAATTAGCATGAGTGACATTTTATATTACTTTAGCCCAAAATTGGCATTGAATATTAAGGCTTAGAAATGGTTACGTGAATGGAGACTGTATATGGCTAGCTGTAAGTTGAATTGTGGTGGTACCATATCAAAGATATACCCTCAATACTCTATTATTCCTGTTTGACACTTAGAAATTTGCTAAAATTAATTTCTTTGTGCTATTGAGTATTCATTTAAAACGATGAACGCTTTTAGAAACATTGGCTTAATAACTGTGAAATTAATATGCAAAGTGATACCCTCGTCAGTATTTATCGTTTGAAGGATGATCAACAAAACGCAGTTGTTATAATCAGCAAAATATCGATTTAACGAAAGGTATCCCAGCAACTTCTTCATTTTTAACTTCCTTTCTTTCGAAGTATGAAAGAAATTTTTCAAAAGGTTAAGCCAGATATTACTATTGCATATTTTGACTTAGAAATCATTGAGATAATTGAGACCATATATGGTTTCTTGGAAACTTAATTGAGGTGGCACCATGTCAAAAAAATACCTGCAATGCGAAGGAGTAATTCGTTGACATATGCAGAGGGAATAGCTCACCACTTACTTTAACGGTATCGAACTTACGTCAATTTTGTCAATTACACATGGGTGGGTGCCGGTTGATGGCACTTCTAATTCTAATTCCTAAATAAAAGGTAAAAAATTCAAAATTTCGTTATTTATCATCTGATGGAGTGAGGCGTCTCAAAAACTTGGTGCGTGACCACACCCACGATTTTAACTCTCCTACTAATTTGAAATCAAAAAATTTAAAGATTATCAATCTGCAATAATGTCGCAATGTCTGGAACTACCGAAAAGTTACAGAAATATTTTTTTGTAAAATGGCGACAGTCTAAAGTAAAAAAATTTGTACCACTTCTTTGAACATTCTTCGATATTTTTAAAACAAGTAAACATGAAAATTTGGCGATGGCCGTAGTTCCGGGCGTAGCCAAGTGCCCAAGGAAGACTCTCTTAAAATGCAAGTAAATCGGTTGGGCAGAATCTGAGAAATCGTGGGTATTAGACTCAAAAAGACAGTTCTGGGAAAAACGCGTTTAAAGTTTCAAGTAAAATGTTTGCATTCTAAGTCATAAAATTATGATTTTAACTTACATTTATTTAATCTGTCATCCCTGCTGAATACATCAGACCTCCCTTGACTTCGAAAAACTATTTTTGGCGTCTCCGTTTTCTATTCGAGCCTTTCTGGCCTCCTTTGATGCGTTGGATGCTCATATCTCGGAGCCGTCAATCCGAGTGTTGTCTCGTCTGATAGCAAATGCATGAGCTTCTGGACCACCTTTCACTCCCATAATCGTCATCATCTTCAATATCGGTATAAATCCTTCATTAAAAAACACACAGCAATAAATGTTACAATTTCAATGATCTGAGACCCGGAATAGATATGCATTGGAGCGAAGGTTCATATCAGTGAGGTTAAAAACTCATTTTTATTTTGAGTTTCTGAACCCAAACGTCAAGATGATAAAATTCTAAGGATCTGTCAACGAATGGACATGATGGAATGTAGCGTAGACTATCGCAACGGCTCTGTTCAAGATCCATGGTTAATCACAAATTTGGCAATCAATTCTAGAAAGATTTCTGGTTTAAACTTGCACCTACTTCTTCCAAGTTGCGATCAAGGATCNTTTTTGGCGTCTCCGTTTTCTATTCGAGCATTTCTGGCCTCCTTTGATGCGTTGGATGCTCATATCTCGGAGCCGTCAATCCGAGTGTTGTCTCGTCTGATAGCAAATGCATGAGCTTCTGGACCACCTTTCACTCCCATAATCGTCATCATCTTCAATATCGGTATAAATCCTTCATTAAAAAACACACAGCAATAAATGTTACAATTTCAATGATCTGAGACCCGGAATAGATATGCATTGGAGCGAAGGTTCATATCAGTGAGGTTAAAAACTCATTTTTATTTTGAGTTTCTGAACCCAAACGTCAAGATGATAAAATTCTAAGGATCTGTCAACGAATGGACATGATGGAATGTAGCGTAGACTATCGCAACGGCTCTGTTCAAGATCCATGGTTAATCACAAATTTGGCAATCAATTCTAGAAAGATTTCTGGTTTAAACTTGCACCTACTTCTTCCAAGTTGCGATCAAGGATCAGACACCATTCTCAAAGAAGAAACATTTTTTCTTCACTGCCGAAGGAGAGTTCTTTGGGCTTTACGTCTTGGCACAACTTTTTTCCCATTTGAAAAAGACCGGGTTATGTGTGTTTCAGAATAAAAGTCTATTGACCTATGTCAGCACAGGACTATCAAAGGGTGAAAGCTTTTCAGAACTTTGCTCTGAAATAATATTTCACGAATTTTTCTACTTGCATTCAAAGAAGATTGCCAATAAAGTGACAGCCTTCCAGCGGGGGCCTCAATAGATATGGTTTTAGTGGCGAATCTATTGCCTTTCCCTATCATCGCGGTACAAGTTCTCTTCCATGAAACAAGTAATCTCCTGTTACCGTTTTCACAATCATGAAGTGTTGAATGAAGACAGGATTCTATTTAAGAAGGAAGTCTGGTACACAAGAACGCTTTACCGCACTTTGAAAAATCACGAAATGATACCCTGTCACATCCCCCCCCCTCACCCTAACATCACTCATGCAGAGCTGTCTTTCAATCTTTGTGTAGATACTGCTAATGGGAGTAGTCTTTCGGACAAATGGCATAAAATTTCTGCCCTTTTCTATTCTAGTCTAAAATGAGGGAAACGGGTTTTCATACTCATTTACCAGTGCAAAAAAAATCGATGGCGAACATATATATTCATTTGCCTAAATGTAGACAAACACGCGGGAAAGCCGGGTTACACACCGACTGCTTAAATTTAAAGGGAAACAAATGAAATCTATGCATACTAATGGTGACTGCTCTCCCTTCCTCATCTTTTAAAACAATAAATTGTGAAAAAGCTTCACAATTTTAATTCAAGAATTTTTCATGTAAATTATATGTCATTACCCTGTTTATTTTGCACTATCAATCACAACACAGTTTGCTATTTTGGAACTAGAGACGTCAATGGTGACACCCGTATGCAATTCTACTGTGCAACAAGAAGAAGCAAAGAAAATAAGCACATTTCGACATTGTAATTCGATCCAAAACCATGATTAAAATGAACACATTCTACCTATGAATGAGATAGTCAGATGTAGGAGTCACTATACAAATAATAACCGTAATAATAATAATAATAATTAGACGAAGACGACAAAGACGAATAATAAAGGCATAAAATAACATTTCGGTCTTTTCAATAATTGGCAGTGATATGCTATTAGTACAGTTTAATCAACGCGCGCCCACATACACACACACGCACGTTCGCGCTCGAGTAAATAGTCCTAATTGATGATCTATATTGTCATGGATTTTTTCGTTTCAAACACAACAACTGCTGCAAATTTTCACTTTCACTAAATTTTTGCAATGGGCAACTGTGTACCAACCACGCATCGCTTCTTCCGCTCTACTCCACGTAGGCGCGTCACAAAAGACTCGCCTATGAGGGTAGCTGAATCTGTGGAGGCAGGAGAAGAGACTAGAATCAGCACAGGCCATGAAGAGATAGGGCAAGCGACGAATAGAATGAAACAAGCGACTATGAGTGAGAATCCAGCGAAAGAGAAGGAGGTAGAAGTCGAAATCGAGAGTAGGGAAGACACCGAAATCGACACAGACGCCATCAGCGAATGCTCCTCTGGCTTGGGAGAATTCCCATCGCTCGAAAGCCTGTGTGAGGAGTATGAAGAGTTGGAGCAGATCAAGAATAGAATAGAACAGGAGAATACGAGTGAGAAGGCAGTGCAGAAGAAAGTAGAAGATGAGACTGAGATCGAGATCTCATTGACTATTGAGGTCTCACTAAATAGTCAAACTTCTCTCCTCACTTGGCTAATCTAATCAGCCGCTGTCTATTGGGCTTCCAATTTATGTAAGCGATCACCTATAAACGTCAAATACCCATATCCATTTCTCTGTCCCAAATTTTAAATATTATGACAAGAATAGCAAAAATTAGATATAACCAAAGACACTACTTACTTACAAATTAAAATTGAGCTGATTTTCCTTCAAATTTATGATGATCCTTAACTTTAATCTATTGTTACTTTCATATGAGGAAATTTCTAAATTTGAGCTCGACTACTTTGTATCACCTTGCCGAGTTGAGCAGACAATCAAGTAGAAAAAACTGGTCTTTCATTCTTAGCTAGAAATAGATTTCAGAATGGCAACTCTGGTGTCTGAGTAGACTACTGCCATCAAGAATCTTACCAGTTCACCAGAAATTGGTAATGAAATTGGGGAGATGGAGAATAGTCGATGCTCTCGTGGATAGTGAATGAAGTATTAAATAAGATCATTCGTGTTAAACCTTAGTAGAGTAAGGCTTTTGAAGACTTTTAGAATACAAGGAAATATAACTTCTGTTGTTATAGCTATCAGATTGTACAGACTCAACATTTTAGCCAATTGGTTAATGAAGAAGTTCATGAGTTATCACTGCTGAAACTTTAATGCGGTTTCACGCTCACTCATACCCGAGTTTTAATAAGTTCGATAATTTCTTTAATTATATTCTTCGTTGCACTGATGAGATATTCTGAAGATATAATTTGGTATTTTAGCCCAATTTGAACACAGAAACTTGTTTATCTTGCAGAAGCCATGTGACTCATTCAATTGTTAGTTTTCATTCATTGTTGGCCTCAAAACGCACCTCCTGTATGTATCAGTAAAGTTACTGAAATTTATAAAGAAACACAATCAATATTCAACGACGGAATAGAATTTATCTCAGAATTATTCATTGAGGCTTTGCATTGTTAGTAGTTGGAGAAACCACTTGGCAGCATCCTGTTGAGACTAGTTCAATTAGCCTGATTATGCATAAATTATTCGTGTTCGGACACATTGAAATTATTTGGAGGCATGAGCTTCGTTCTTATTTGTTTGAATTGCAAACACCAAATCTTTTCTCACTTAGGTTACTCATGTTAAGTCTACTCCGAAACCTTATCGAGGTTAGAGCTGGTTGTAGACATCTGAAATAGGGAATTAGGTTTCACCAATCCCAAACATTGAGACAAGACGTTAACCGAGCTTTTCAAATAATAATAAATTACACGATTTTTGCATGTACTTATTGTTAATGAAATTATTATTGGAGCTGTCAGTAAACCTTAAAAATCTATTTATCCCAATAAATTAAAATTGAGGAGAACTCAGAAAAAGCACCTCAGAATAAAATAACTCCAACTTTGACAAATTGAGTAAACTACTCTATTATTGCAAACACTTATTGTGAGAGAAAAGATAGAAGGTGTCAGTGGACTAGAAAAATCAATTACAATCTTCGAAACTTGATCAAACCTGATAATGATCGTAAGTCATTAAAATAAAGCCTATGGCTCCTACTCTTATGCTTCGTCCCATTCTTGGCAATTCCTGTTGAGTGTCACATCGTTGCCATCAACATCTTCTGGACGAGAGTTGACAACGAGTCTAGCAGCCTGACAGAAATTTGATTGAAAACACGCACTTAGACTGGCAGTGATTTACATTTTACTCAGCAGTAACATTAAGACAGGGCCATATGAAAAGCATAGCAATTATTGCTGTGCAGAAGGGTGAATGTTCTCATTCAAACGAATGGAAAAATTACCAGAACCAGGTGGTATCAACAAAAACCAATCATTGGAACTTACAACAGCAAGTAATAGATCAAGAAATCGTGACACAATGATTGGTGTTGATTAAAGTGAGGTTCGATGGAGTTGAAGGGGAAGTGAGAGTGTCTTGGTAAGAGGGGAGGAGATGGGAGAAAGTAGCACGATCAGACAAATGATAAGCTCGTGTGAGTGAGTGAGTGTGTGCGTGTGTGGAAGTAAACGATTGAAATTTCGAAAACGATTTCGTTGAGCTACTTGGCTTGGAGGATGGCGGAGATATGAATTCAGGTATTTTAAAAGAAATTGTGTTATAGCTTGAAAGAAAGCAACGATTATACTTGTTAAGAAATGAGAGTACTCGACTAAAGGGTAATTCTGTAATTGTCATCTTTCGAGCTAAAAAGACGCCCTTTGTTAAATCCATTCGCTTGGGACAATCTTAATTTAGCCACTTTTATTGGTCCGTTAAGACGCTACCATTAAACTTTGATTATTGAGTACACAGAGAAGTTTTGCGCTTGATAAAATAGTTCAATGCAAGCTTTCGGAACAGGTGAGTGAAACTATAAGCCAGGAAGCCTACTGCTACATTCATGAGTTCAGCAGAAACTTTAGATAATCATTTTCCAAACAAACGATTATTCGTGGTCTGGGTCGTCAAAGACCTACCGTCGTGTGCTGAGTTTTGCATTGATGTTTGTGAAGAACACTTTTAACAATCGCTGTGATCTGCTGAAATTTCTCTGTTTCATCATCCGTAATATGCACTATTTACTGCTTTTAGTATTAAATATAATAAAAATTTTATTTGCTGTATTTACACACGAAGTCATTTATCAGCTGCCAGAATACATTGCACCGATAGAGTTTATTTATCCAAGTTCCAAAAGTATTGAAATAAAAATACTGTGTATGTATGTGATACGAAATGACCTCCGCTTCAATAATTGGTAAAATATGGGGATCAATCAATTCAAAACATGTTCAATCGTGTTCGTGTGTTCCTATAGGATAAACGTTGTGGTATTTGCAGCCCAAATGCGTTGCACTAAGTTCCATTAATTCGTCATTTTCGAAACCCCTTAGGGGCATGCCTGAAGGCGGGACATAACCAGTGAGTGAACTGTGTATTTAATTATCAGAGGCAACGAAAAATAGCTTTCATCTCACCGCCTACTTCTATTTACGCAGTCAAAACCTTGAAGACTAATTTTGAAGGGTGAATTTAAATTTTTTTCTGAACACTACTGTCGCAATAAAAATTCGTCCTTGTTCAATATGAAGTATTGGTAAAGGTTGGAAAGCCAAATGAAAGCATATTAATTGTTCAAGGAGCACCTATGAGTATTTGCACGTATTGACACTTAATCAAATTGCACAAAGAATACCAGAAATGTCCCTACCATATTCCTATTCCCGTGTTTAAATAATGTCTTGAACTATAATAGCCTTTGAATTCTAGTGGTAATTTTAGAGCACCGATAATCATATACACACACACACATATTCAAGGTAGACACCTTTCATTACAAATAAAGTCCAGAATCGGCAAATACAAAAAATCGATTTTATTTTTTTTCATATTTTCATAGTTCAACTATTCAAGAATAAATCTACGAGAGAATTTTCCAAAATTCAAATTATTTTCGGACATATAAGTATTTTGCTGAGCAGGCATATAAATCGGTTGGGCTGAAACTAATCGAACAAATGACATAATGGGTTCGCCTACAACCTGAATCTATAGTAATTAGTGAGCCCTTTTGTTCCGTTATATCTATCTTCCTTTAACCTCAAAATGACCAACAATTTGAACACCTTAACTAGTAGGCTTTCGAGGTTTATAGCCTTGAAAGGAACTAATCGTGAGCATTAGTAACTATTATTGAGCATCATAAATGTGTGGTCAACATATGTGGGATTGAAATATGCAGATATTGTTTTCCACCCTAATTTGTTGGAAGAAACTTGCACATTTTCCTTTCTTTATTAATAAAGGTCGAAAATATCGAACCAAATGTAGAGAATGTAGTGGTTACATTCAAACGTGATCTTAGGTATTGAACATTTATTGACGACAACCGATCCCTGTTTGACAGTGTGAGATTTTTTCCTGGGCTAAAATGTGTTCTGCAAAACCATTAAGAGTAAGCTCAATAATACGAGTTAGTCATCCAAAGGAATGTATATATTTCATGCATCCAATTAGCATGAAGTTGTTTTAAGCATATACCTGTAATGTCAGTTACAGGGGTTCAAACGCCGAATGCTCCTGTTCATAGTTTAGTTCATTATCATTTCGAAATGAAATGTTTGACCCTATTGAGTAGGCCATTCGGAACCTATTTAATCTGCTAGCACCAGTTAACAAACAGTCTTTTAAATTACTCTGCATCAGTGCAAAAGTGGCATAAATTAAATGGAAGAAAAATTTCTAGTTGAAACAGGAAAGACGTGAAATTACTCTGAGGGGGGGAACCTTATTCACTTCTGTGGATCATTAAGTTTGCTTTCAACATTTCGATCTCACCTCTTCATACATTCAAGTGCAATTAGAAATGCAGAATACTACCAACTTTAATTAATACCACAAATTAATGACATTTGGTATATCACAAATTTCATTGCAATGTCAGAATTTTCTCACTTATTTTGTATTTAACTAGCATGTATGCGAGCTAGACTCAACTCCACGCAGTGCATCATTGACAACGTAAACTCATGCCTCAAAAAGTCTATAAACCGTCTGTTGAGCTAAAACTACCATGATCCCACTCCATGTCATATTCCGCCACTTCCACAGTACTCACCTTACCCTTTTCCCTATCTTTGAGTCTGTCTCTTTCACACTTCTGTTCCTTTTTCGAGATGCAATGACTTGGAATTTCCTCCCCTCTTTGGGGCCTGAAGTTAGCTAAAGCGCCAATTATAATTATTATTAAAGTGTACATTATAATTATACACGTGTAAAAATATTAGGAAATGGAAAACTATCCTTGTAGAATCTATTTTAAACTTGTAATTAATTAGCATAATAAAAATGAGATTTTGATTGATGTGATTTTCTCTTTTTAATATAAGATTAGATTTTTGACACTTTAAATGACCTAAACCAACTAACATTAATCAAAAGTGATGTCACTCATCTTCTATATTATTAAATTTATCAAATGCAATGGAATGCTTGTTTGTTCTTGAAGAGTTTCATTTCTGACTCTCCACTCTTTC